TTCAGAGGAGTGTTAATTAAGCTAATGATACAAACTTCGGTTTCCTTTCTATTTAGATAGTAATTGAAGCCAGGAGTGTGAGTGAGGGAGAAAAGGGTAGAGTAAGAAACCGCCTAGGGTAGAACCTTAAGGGACTCTGATATCTTGCATCCAGATCAAAAGAGAATGAGCCTGCAAAGGACACTTAGAAGAGTGCCCAAGAGGTATAGGGGAAAACTGTGATGTCAAAGTTCTAGAAGCCCAAAGAGCATATGAAGAAGGAGATGATCATTGACCAGTGTCCAGTGGTGCGAGGGGGGGTCCCGTTAGAGGAGGGCCACTTTGGAAAACGGCTTTGGATATTGCAGCACAGAGGAAGTCGGTGACCTCATTGACAAATGTCACTGATAGCATGATGACATGGGAAATCTGACTAGAGGGAGGCCAGCAGAGTGGATTGCTGGTGAGGAAGGGAGCTCTTGTGAGGACCCACCATGCCACTGGAAAAGTCTGGCTATAAAAGAGGGGAGAGAGAGGGCAGCTGTTCCCCTCAGAGAATAAAGGGTCTGCCGCGGGAGAGTCTGCCTTTCTTATTGTTATGTCGTGTTTGAAAATGAGAAATGTAGCGTATTTCAGCATAGGAAAGGAAGAAATCCTGTGGGCAGGAGAGATTTGAACATGGAAGTAAAAGAAGAGCTCCTTGAGAGCATTGGGGATGGTATTACAGAGAAATGCCAGGCTGCCCACAGATCACTCTGAAATCACCTTGTCGCAATGGAAGCTGCGGGAAGGTTAGTGTGGGATTCTTGGGGAGTGGGTAGTTTGGAAGCACCTGACCCTGTCGGTGTCCACCCCGCACAGCACTCTCTGCTCATAGAGAAGCCTGTGTTGGGATTCCTGTGCTCTGCTCACCTTTGCCTGTTTTTTTCCCAGGAGCTGATGAGGATGTAGAGAGCCCAGAGCTGACAACATCCCGACCACTTCCAAAGATAGGGTTCACTAGTGCTGTTCCGAAAGTGGAAACCACGACACTGAAGATACAGAATAAGATACCTGCTCAGACAAAGGTGTGTTTGTTTTGCATTGCATTAGCAGGTTCTTGTAAATAGTTTTTAAAATTGCCCAGAATGTTCCTTTTGAGATGCCCCATTTAAAATGGTGTGAGGACGCCTGATCTTTTCATTATATTGCTGTGAATGGCTCTTCCTTACTCTCCATGATCGTTTTGACATTTACCCACCTATTACTTTGTTGTTGTTAGAACCATGCAATGTGTAGCCTTTTGAGACTGGCTTCTTTCTCTGAGTGATACGCATTTAAGGTTCCTCCATTTAAGCTTCCTCTGTGTCTCTTCCTAGCTCGGGAGGTCCTTCTTCCTACTACTTTTATCATCCAGGCCTAGATTATATGTGGGTATCTTTTATAGGGTGCTCCTTCTAGAAGGATCTCACAGCCCAGTTAAGAAGCAAAATGTTTTCTGTTTATTTGGGCTTCAGCCAAGAAAATTTGTTTTTATTTCATAAAGAATTTATTCTGAGTTAAAACCATTGTGAACGTTTACGTGTGCTAAAACAGGTTATGGAATAAGGACACTCTAGGTACCTGTCTCATTATTTCTGAACGTCTCCCTTAGGCCTATCATCAGTGGCCTACAGACTTTGCCCTCTTTCAGTGATAATGATATCTGTGGTTACATCCCAGTATATTCATTTTGAGAGCTGAGTTATTAAGAAATAAGCTCTTTGGGTTTAGAACACAGCAAAATTACTAGCTAGTGAAAACTACGAGACAGGTGATTTTGGCCGTATAGTCATGATATTGTAATTAGTTGACCAGTCACTATTGGGTGAGCTATTGAAGTTGGAAAATGCAAATGAAAGTCTGAAGAAGGGGTGCCTGGGTGGTTCAGTGGGTTAGGTGTCTGGCTCTTGATTTCAGCTCGTGATTTCAGGGTCCTGGGATCAAGGCCCACGGCAGGCTCCGTGCTCATCATGGTGTCTGCTTGTCCCTCTCCCTCTGTCCCTCCCCCTGCTCTGTGTGCTGTCTGTCCCTCATGCACGCTCTACCAGATAAATAAAATCTTTTTTAAAAAATGTCTGAAGAAGGTCTAGGCTTTAAATCCTGCATCTGGTCAAATTTCTTAGCTCTCTGAGCCATTCCTCATGGGTCCTTGAGAAGACTAATTGTGGGTGCATAGAGCATGTCACCTGAGACCCAGTAAGCTGTAGAGACCAAGGCAGTTCACCAAACGAGTGCATATAACTGCAGTAGTGGACTTTGTTGATGGGCCCAGGGTAGCAGGCTGGTTACAAAAACCCAGGAACACAAGTGTCCCCTTTGAGAGCTCATTCATCCTTTGGTTGGAAGTGAGACACTGCCAGGCTTTCATAGGAGACAGGAGGTGGAAGGCCGTCTCCTGTCGGTAGCGACGTGTCTTCTCTGGAGGAAGAGGTGCCCCCCACCCCGCCCTTGAAAAGGTAGGAACACATGGGGGCCATCGCATGCTTTCATTTTCCTCCCTTTGTCAGAGTGCATTGGTTTTCCCTCCCAGCCCCAGTGCATCCCCAGGGCCTGTGAATAGGAGTGTGAGGGACAGAGCTGCATACGTTTCCACAGAAGGGAAGGAGCCATGTTCGGTCCTCTGTAGCCTGGAGTGTGCTCTGCAGGGTTAAGATGGGCCAGTTCCTGTTGGTGGCAGACAAACTCCCGGGCCAGGTCATAGGGGAAAAGGAGAAGGTCTCTGAACCCTGAGGCAGATGTACCTCACATGTTCTGGCTCCACTCATGGTAGCTGCTCCATAAACACGTGAAGTTGAATGAATGAAAGAAGGATGGGAGATGGGTAGAAATGAGAAGTAATGGCTGTTATTGATGGTTGAATGGGGAGAGGGTCCTCAGAAGTGTGCGGCAGTTATCCAGTGTGGCCATTGAGGGACGCATTTGGCATTACCGCAGTTTTATTTGACTACTTGTGACTGAATCTCTTGAAGTCCGTGACTGTCAGGATCCAGTAGCTTGAGGCAGGAAACTCCATTTTGGCTTTCAGGGGTCAAGAGTTGTATCCTAAGCAAAACCTAATGTGACAGTAGTGTTCTGATCAGTTGACAGGAATGGATTGAAAATGGACTTAAATTTTTTTAAAATTGGCTTTAAGGAAGTAATTGCGTGAGATCTAGATAAAGAAGATAGATGTTTGGCAGATGAGCTCAGAAATTAAGAATCCCCAAACATTTTAACACATATTTATCTGCCTAGTATCATTTGTATTCAACGGAGCCATCATTCATCTCTTCATGAGAGGTTTATTAAATGCTGCTCATTAGGTGTCAAACATTATTCTAGGTACTGATAATGATAATGTTGATAGTGAATATTATTAAGTGATTTCATTTGCTATCTTATAGTTACATGGCAGTACAACTAAATTAAACATTGCCTCTAGGATGCCATTAACATAGACTGCTTTCGAATGGGTCTGACGGTGGCATCAGTGTCACTGTCACAGATATTCTGTCTAGTTTGTTGTAAATTTATGTGACAGAAATAAAAAGAACACAGTTGTTTGTTGAAGCAGAGCATTGCTTGCAGTCTTTTACTTCTGATACATTTCCACAGCATCAAAAACACCAGACGTGGATGTGACAGATCTTTAATTAACTTCGTTTAATCATCTATGGTGCCTTTTTGTAATTTCATCTTGCACATACATAACAAGAGCTAAGGTATTTCAGATTCGCTCTGTACTGTAGAAATAATTCTTCTCGGTCAAACCCTTGCTTCTGTACAATAAAGTGTTTCAGTGTAAAGAACGAATGTTTCATCCAGAGCACCTGGAAGCTTGTGCACGGATGGACTGTCCCTATTAGTGCATGGTGACCCCAGCTCTGTGGAGACTGCCTGTCCCCACACCCACAGACCCCTGAAATGCAGATCAGAAGCAAAGTCAGAGGGAATTGTGTCAAGTCTCACAAATGATTGTAGAGACTCAGAAAATCTGAGGGGAATTAATGGGATTCAACATAGTAATGGGATACAAAGGATGTGGCTAAGTTAAATTCAGTCTCTCATATCACAGTAGCTGCTATATCCATCTTAATCACCACTGGAACTTGCTTACCCTTTTCCCTAGTGACAAGCCTGAGTAGCCACCTGGTTGAGTTTTTGCTTCCCTTTCCTAACTGCTGGGAGCAGTGCTACTGAGCAGTGAAAAGGATATTACATGAGAACCTAGAGAATCCATTTGCTCAGCTCTTGAGCTATCTGTCCTTCCACCATGCCAGTTAGTAACAAGTTTTCCATGGGAAGAATGAAGAAAATGCAGGCAAAATGCTGCCAGTGAGCTTCTCTTTTCTGTTGTACTTTGGTTCACAAAGACCTGGGAAGACCTTTCATATTTTCTTGTTTCAGTAATGTAGATCGTAGTGAGTGGGTGCATGCTGGGTGCGTGTTGTGCAGCAGTGAAATAATTCTCTGCGGTCTGTGCTTTCTGTAAGTCATGCCAGGTTGAGGTTTAAGGCAGTGTAGGGTTTCTTGCAGTTTGGGGAAGCGTTGACAGACCTTCTTTATCCCACTTGATATGTATGCCATCTTCGTTGGAAGCCTCTATTCATTGAGGCAGGGACCCATGACCTAATATACTCCAGAGTTCAGACAAAGCCACCTGGCCTGCCTGATCTTGGTAGTGATCCTTCCTGGGAATACTTTCAGGCACTCCAGGAAGGTGTGAGGTCTTTTTATCTTTTTAACCCTCTAGGCTTGAGTAGCACGCTGACATTTTGGATGAACCCTGGCCTCCAGAAAGCAATCACTGGGCCACAGCATAGAGTCCTAATGAAAATGGACTTAGGTGTTTGTAGAAAGACTAGTAGAGCTGATAAGGGTTATTGTCTACACTAACAGCCAAGGGAGTTGACAGTGTTTGCCTCAATAGTGTTGATCAACAAGAACTTCAGCCTGATAGTTAAAGGTTGCTGTAAGAAGGTGGGTGTGATGTAATAAACACATGAACAAGGCTCTGAAAATGGGAATCCAAGGAAGGCACTTTATTTGAGAGACTGGTGGAAGGCAAGTTGATAGGCCTGTGCCATGGCAGAACATACAATTTGAAATGTGCTCAAATAACTTTGGGGGTCCAAAAGAATAGCTGGTACAATTAATGGAAATAGAAAAGAAGGTTGATATTATTCAGTGATACAGCCAAGGGTTAGTGTCCTGCACACTGCTGGGTGTTTGGGGTTAATGCTGACTGGAGATGAGCTTCTGAGAGTTGCCATCTTAGATTTGTGCTTTAGAATTGTGGAAAACCCAAGAACTTCACAGTGCCCTTTGTTAAATGGAGGTAGACACCAAGGTGCAGGAAAGTGGTATAACTTGGTCAGGATCACATGGGAGCTGCTTCTAGAGCCCAGACCCCTGAAGTTCTCGTTTACTGAACTGAACTTACACAGAAGTTGTAAAAGTGAGTAGGTAGAGGGGAGCATTGCTGAGTAAGTCTGGTGGGCTACTGCACAGAGTTGGTAGCAGGAAGAGCCCTTGGAGAACACCTGGAGGGAGGGCCTGAAAGGAAGCCATCGTCATCGCAGTGCCCAGTGTAGCAAAGAGGTGAAGGAATAAGGAGAATTGGGACCATGTTTCTTGGGTTGGCACAGCCAGAGAGAGCAGGAACCTGAAGTCAGAGGAGTGGTAAGAAAACAGATCTTATGAAATGTCAACTAAAACAACATAACCTTGTCATTTGGATTATCTTGAACTCACTAAGTGGCCATCTTGCCTCTACCTGTGATGGTGTTTTGCAGAACCATGGAGAGCATGGCTCTACCCGAGGAATCACCCATTGGTATAAACATCATAATTATTTCCCAAATTCATTGTTGGAAAAAAAATAATAAACCTTGGAAATGTACTTCTGTTTTCTCTTCTTTCTAGCACATTAAAAATGATCTTTATAATCTTTTCCCTTATCAGTCACCTGAAGAAATTGATAAGGAAAAAGTTCATCTCTCTGACTCAGAAAGGAAAATGGACCCCGCTGAAGAGGATACAAATGTGTATACTGAGAAGCACTCAGACAATCTGTTTAAACGAACAGAAGTCCTGGCAGGTGAGTAGTTCAGTGGGAGCCTGGTGGGAGGGTCCTTAAATAGGCCTCTTTGGCTAAGTGATAGTCAGAGGTGTAGGCCAAGCTTGCCAAATGTCACCTTCCTGTGGAGAGCAGTCTGAGGGCCTGTCTCATTCCAGAGTGAGAGACAAGAGTTAGGCAAATGTTCTTTTTTTTTTTTTTTTTTTTCCTCTCTGCTTCCTCATCCTACCACTTGGTGTAAGAAGAGGAAAGTTTGGACCTGAATTGGTCCAGAACAACTGGGTGTGGAGGAGATGGTGGGGTGAGAAGCTCAATCCATCCAGTTCCAAGTTCTCCTGATACCAAAATAAACTTGAGAAGGAAAAGTCCTTTATGGGTAGGAGGGCAGTTGAGGCCAGTAACACCCAAGGCATTAAGGATGCTGTCTCTAACTGTGACTTAGCTGATGAAAGCAGTCTCCGTTTGATTTTAAAGGGGAAGATTTGTGCGATTTAAGAACGCTTAGTCCTTGAAAGGATAGTCCCAAAGCCAAGAGTAGAAAGGACATTTGCTTGCTTTTTTTCACATTTACCTTTACAAAACGTAAGTCATTTATATCCTGTTTTGTGTCTTCACTGAAAAAGCAACTAGAAGATTAGATATGAAGTGTGAGAAAACTGAAGAATTTTAAAGTATGGAATTAGTTGAGGCCCCAGTCAGATTTTTCTTATTGAGGCTTTTGGCTGATAGGATTGATTCTAATCAAAGTAAGTATCAAAAGTCCCTTCTTGGGAATGTCAGATTTGGGTAATTCACCTGGTTGCCTCATCAAATCCAGTTTTTCAGCGTTTGGGGGTTTTTCGAATGGAGCCTTTGAAAAAGTATAAATAGATTGGGCTTGACAAAGTTAATTTCCGCAACCCTTGAATCTCTCCTAAAAGTAATCTTCCTTTCTGCATGTTTCAGCGGTCATTGCTGGCGGAGTTATCGGCTTTCTCTTTGCGATTTTCCTTATCCTGCTGTTGGTGTATCGCATGAGAAAGAAGGATGAAGGAAGTTATGACCTTGGAGAACGCAAACCATCCAGTGCTGCTTATCAGAAGGCACCGACTAAGGAGTTTTACGCCTGAAACTCCTACTTAGTGTCTCTATTTATGAGATCACTGAACTTTTAAAAATAAAGCTTTTGCATAGAATAATGAAGATCTTTGTTTTTTGTTTTTTGTTTTCCATTAAAGGGCCATTCTGGCACTTTAATGATAAAATCCCATTGTATTTAAAACTTTTCATGTATTTCTTTACAACGACATAAAATTAAAACTTAACATCTGCAGTGTTCTGTGAATAGCAGTGGCAAAATATTATGTTATGAAAACCCTCTATGTTCATGGAATCGGTTTAAACTTTTATGGGCAGATACAAAATGATTGTTTTTATCCCCTGGTTCGAAGATGAAAGCTGTTTAATTTGTGTCCGCATGTCTCCGATGGACCTTACCAAGTTGGTCTTAACTTTGTTAATTTATCTGTTGTTCCCTTCTCTCCTCTGCTCTTCCCCTCTTGTCCCCTTGAAAACAAAACAAAACTCTATGCCTTTTGTAGCTGTTACGGTGCAATTTGTCTTTGGATAATTCAGATAATGGTAATTTAGTGTATATGTGATTTTCAAATATGTAAACTTTAACTTCCACTTTGTATAAATTTTTAAGTGTCAGACTATCCATTTTACACTTGCTTTGTTTTTCATTACCTGTAGCTTCAGGCAGATTTGCAACAGCAAATTAATGTGTAAAATCGGACGATTACCACAAAACTGTTCAGTCATAGCTATGTAATCACATCATCTTTTGGGAGGATTTGATGTGAGTTAACTGATAAGCCTCAGCAAACCCAAAGATGCTAACAGTATTTTGAGAAGCTGCTGCAGATTCCTTTGGCCACTGTATTTGTTAATTTCTTGCAATCTGAAGGTACGAGTAGGGGTTTAAGGAGAAATCAGTTTTTGTTCTTAAAAATGCATTTAAGTTGTACACGTCTTTTTAAGCCTTTGAAGTGCCTATGATTCTATGTAACTCGTTGCAGACTGGTGTTAATGAGTATATATAACAGTTTAAAAAAAAGTCGGTATTTTATAAGCACAGACAATTCTAATGGTAACTTTTGTAGTCTTATGAATAGACATCAGTTGTCATTTGGGAACATAAAAACTACTGAATAAATCATGTGGCCTAATATTGAAAATGTCACTGTTATAAATTTTGTACATTTTCGATCCAATTGTACATCTCCCCTTTGCAAATGACCATCTGCTCTCAAGGATGATGGGGGTTTGATTTCTGAGCGTTCCATAGTGTCTGTAAATCAAAACCAAAGAGCTCATCGATGAGGCGGTTTATTACCAGACTCCCTTCTGAATTGGCCAGAGAAAATCTGAATTTTCAGATTGTGTTTGGGTGTCGATATTGGAAGACCGCCAGGGAGGGAATTGTGAAGTTGGCAAGCTTTGTAGGCTAGCTGATGGCAACATTGAGAGGGATGCCTGCTTTTGCAAATAACTCTTGGGAGGATAAATTCTAAAGAACTGAAGGGGACTTTCCTGATGTCAGTATCTAAGGTTTTGTCCTGTAGACCTATGAAGACTGATGTACCTTGGAAACTGTGCTCCAGATCTCTCCTGAAGCTTCACTAAAGAACCAGTACATGGAAATGCCATAGTTTACACCATAGGGAAGGAAAGCGGGGCAGGGTGGTTCTGTGCATTAAAAGGAGGGCCTCCCTGCTGAGGATTGAAATTGCTGGAAAGCGGGGGTGCCTGAGGAGGAGATGGAAGTCTGAGGGTACCCTGCCTGGGTATTTCCTTCTAACAACATTTCCTTTTCTGTTTTCACCATACATTTTGTTTTAATGTGTGAGCCGCCAAAGTAGGAAGAAGACTGCAAAAACAGCAACCCTTTCGACCCATAATGTACTTTTAATAAAGTATGAATACTTCATTTAGAGAACGTTCCCTGGAATTGCCACATAACTCATTAAAAAAAAAATTGAAGCAGCACTCGGAACAGTGTTTACTTAAATTCTTAATGGCCTTAATTCTCAAATTCCTGTCCCATCACTTACAGAGTCAATCCACTTTGGGGTGGTTAAAAGAAAGTTCTAGCACCTTCTGAAGTTGCACAATATCCCTCGATTACAGGGGTAAAGAATGTAGTGGGTATACCTCTAACTGTGCAAAGCCTAGTGAAATTCAGTTCATAGAATAACAACTGCTTGCAATAGAATGCCAAGAAAAGAAATTTTCTGGCAAATATTTTGTCACTGCTGTAAAGCAAAATATTTGTTAAAGTGCCAAAATAAAGTCTGTCATGCTGAAAGTAAAAAAAAAAAAAAAATCATTGTATAGACTGACATCCAGTTTTCTTCAACTGTATGTTTTCTGCTGAGTTTTTTCTTTTTAGTTTTTAATATGCAGTAAATCGTGCTATATGAAGTGTTAGTAACGATTACCGAGTTCAGGAAAATTTTGGCAAAATATAAACATTAAAGCCAACATGAAAATTTCCTGTTTCCTTAGCCACATGTAAATGATTTCCTTTGTGCGAATATGGCTTTGTGTTTGGAAGACGTGCAGTATTCCAGCTGCCTCGTTCTCAGTGGATGGGGAAGGTGGGATGAGGTGTGTTTTTAAGTTTCAGCTACAGGTGCACCTGAACTTCAGGATTGGGACCTGGTTAATAAAACTGAACTTAAATTGGACAAGACAGCATAATTGCCATCTTATTCACATTCAAAGTTGATAGTTTCGGATTGGATACTTAGTGAAATGGTATTTTGGTAATCCTTTCTGCAAAGGAGGCAAAAGCCCCTTGCTTTTTGAGGGTATAGTGTGTTTGTACAGGGTCTAGAAGACTAAGCTTAATAAATAGAACATAGTTACCTTACTCTGGTTTCCCAAAGGAACTTGAATGTTCTGCAAAGGGTGCTGGATCCTATAAAAACAGGGGCAATAACAACTTTTCATAGTTTTTAGGAGCTTGCTTCTTTAGTGTTTTAGACATTTTGAAAACCTATGGAAAATTTTAAATGAGCAAAAATAGAAAACCTAAAAATATTGCAGGGTGAATTTTATGATCACAGTCATCTTTACAACTTTATTATAATTATATAATGGATGGTAGGAAAAAAATTTAATATGTTTGGTTTTAAAAGGCAATGACTTAAAGCAACATAACCTCTAACTTGAATTTCTGAAGCTCTAAACCTCTGGCAGACATCAGTGAGACCCGAAGAAGTTTTCAATTAAAATTAACCAAGCCAGACGATAAATGTCTGAATTGAGTAACCACAAAGGTGTTTTCAGTGCTGATATTTTATTACAATAGTGAAAGTTGAGATTTGGCTGGTTTTGGGAAATCTGCTTTAGCAGGCATGGGAAACTTTAAAAAAAAAAAAGATTTTACCTTTTAAAAAAGATTTATTAGAGTAAGTGAGAGCACAAGCCAGGGGGAGAGGCAGATGGAGAAGCAGACTCCCTGCTGAGTGGGGAGCCTGGAGGTAGGAACTCAGTCCCAGGACCTTGTAGGTCATGACCTGAGCCAAAGGCAGACACTTAACTGACCGATCCTGGGCACCCTGGCATGGGAAGCTTTGAAAAGAATGAAAAACCCTGCCATTTAGTGGTAAAAATATCAAAATGAATTTCGTCCCACTCTGTCTCCTGATTTTGGGCAACTTCACTCTTATTGTTCTAAGATTTCATTCCTTTTTGTTTATCTGTTGTATATGATTTCTGGCAAGGCATTTTCTGACCAAGGAATCATGGTGGCTTTGGAAGCAACTTGGTTTTCTGTGAGTTAGCTGGAAGGGTATATGTGACCCAAGCAATAATTCTAACCCTCAAATGGAGTGAAGCTATAGGCTTTGGTCTTTCCGGTGTATGAGCACAAGTCATTCATTCTTGTTGCCTTGGCAAAGTAGCATTCAAGCAACAAATGGTTGTATGTGCAAGGCGTTAGAGGTTTAATCAGCAGATACTTGCCTACTGAATATGCTCTGGGCACTCTTCTGGAAGCCGGGGTATAGTGATGACATAGAGCTCCTGCTCTCACGGGGTTTGGAGAGGGGTGCATAGAGGAAACAAAACTAGCAAGGAGGACTTGCCAGTTGGTAGTAATTTCCATGATGGACATCATGCAGGCTGATGTAAGGGACTGAAGGACTCTATGGGCCCAGCGAGGCTAGGTGTGCTGCGGTAATGACCTCAAAATCTCAGCAACCTGCAATAGAAAGGATTTACTTGGATCTTACTCATGCCATGTGTCCAGTGGTGGGCGGTTGGCAGAGTTCCGCTGTGAATGGATATACTCAGCCCCAGTGTCTGGTCATTGGAGTACCTGTTACCTGGAATGCTGCCGGTCACTGTGGGAGAAAGAAAAGCAGGGTAACCAAACAGTGGCTCTTAAGCCTTCTACCCAGTAGTGACCTATGTTACTTCCCACCCACACTTCATTTGCCAGAGCAAGTCCTGTGGCCACACCTAACTTCCAGTGTGCAGAGAGGTACGATTCTACTTGTGTCTGTAGGGAGAGAGATGGTGTATTTGTGAACAGCTAGAATTACTACAGCCTGGTCAGGAAAGGTCTCTGAGAGGGTAAGGCCTGAATGATGTAGAGTCAATGTGCTAAAATCAAGATAAGTATATTCCAGGTTGTGGGAAGCCCTAAACAGGGACGGAGCTTAGGCCCCTTGGAAGAACTGTGACAAGGCCAGTGTTTGACCTTGGTAGTAGAACATGGTAGAAAAGGTAGGATAAGAATAGCTGAGAAGCGTTAATTGCCTCCTTACTGGTCTTCCGTCCTCTACTTTTGTTCATTTACAATTTATTCCCACAGTGAAGCAAGGCTGATCTCTTTATGATATCCATTATTTCATATTCTCTTCAATGGCTCCTATAGCACTTTGAACGAAGTCCTGACTCCTTACACCTGCCCTCAAGATCTTCAGGATCTGATCCCTGGACAAGGCATTATAAGGAGACACAGTAGTGGCGATAGTGTGGCCACTTAGGGGATCATTATTGTTACCTAGAGGCGAAACGATGGTGGCTTGGCCTAAGGTGGTAATGGTGGAAACAGAAGACTGGAGAGGAATTGTTTGGGGAGGTGGAATCCACAGGGCTTGCTCAAAGGTTAGAAGGAGTGGGGAATAAGGAAAGAAAGGAATCAAAGATGACATCATATTTTTGGCTAAGCTGAGTGAGTCCCATTCTGAGAGGGGGAATATCCGGGCATTGGCTGATAAGAGTTCCTTTTGAGACACTCAAGTGCAGATGAACAACTGAATGTAAGAATCACAGAAGAGGTCTGAGCTGGAGATAACAACTTAGGAATCGTGTCCCATCGCTTGACTGTTGGCACTCTCATTTCCTTCTTTTCCCTGATCTGTTGTTTAAGGAAGTTGGAGGGCAGGGAAAGGGATGCCCCATGCAAACGTTGCTTCCCAAGCTTCCTTGCCAGCTGGCTTCTAGGAAAGTTTGGCCAGTGGAAGGTTATTGGCAGAAGACTAGAGGTCAGGTGGAAGAGAAAAGCCAGAGTACTTTCCCCTCCTCTCCCAACTTTGGGCAGCATCTCCAGCATTCATGTATCTGCTCAATGGCTTGAATTCCCACTGAACCATCTCTCCTTCAGGTTCCCAGTTCCCAGGGTTCCTTAACTCTCATGAGCCCCACTTTCCCCCTCTGTCTCCCCAGCCTTAGGGAGGGTAGTGGCTTTGTGCCATTTCTGTTCTCTGGGTTATCTTGCCTTCCCCTTTTTGCCCTTGTAGCTTTTCCAACATCTTCATACCTAATTCCCTGGACTGAATTCCCTCTATTACATTATCCAGCATGGCTCTAGTTTCCTTCCTGGACCCTGACCGATGACAAAGGAGTGAACACAAGGTAGATGGTATTAAAAGTCATGGGTCCAGTAAATAAGTAAAATCTTTAAAAATAAAATAAAAGTCATGGGTCCAGATGAGATCAGCTGGAGAGATAAGTAGGTAAAGAAGGAGGATGGTCCCAGGTCTGCCTTCTAGCAGTCTTTTTAGAGGAACTACTACTACCAGTTTCACTTTTCAGTACTGGTCACAGAATTGGGTTTTCATTTTCTCAGATATGAAATAGATACCGAGCAGGGAATACCATCTTTCACTACAAGGGGGGGGGGGAATCCCCATAATGCACCATAACTCATTTTTTATCAAGTGAATAAGCATATTAAAGCATCCACTTCTACCAGGTCCTTAATAACAACACAGTAGAAACTGTTTTTAAAACTAAAAAAAATAATTGGGCAAAGAAATAAGTATTATTAGAATATTTGGGAAATACCTCTATTATCTGTGTTTGCAATAGGAAAATGTCAGCAAACAAAATGATAATCCTCTTGCTTGTAGCCTTGTCCTGGGGTCATTGAAAGCAGGACTTTTGCCTCCTTAATTACTTTCTGCTTAGGTAAATGCCAGAGTAAGCCTGCATTTCCTCTGTCTAGACCAATTGCAAGGAAAAGCAGGAAAGAGGATATAAAATGTCGATGGACTTGGCTCCATGGCTGACCCAGAATTTGGGGATCATGAAATCCCCTCCTCTGATATCACGTATCTCAGTCCTGTCCTTTTCTAGTGTCTGTTACTTCCTTTTTTCCACATGTACAATAAAGAAAACATCCCATGCACTGGCTTGTGGGAATTAAGTGAGTGATGCACTTAGCACATTGTCTGGCATCCGGTAGAACCTCCATACAGATTATTTATACATTCCTCCACACCAAGTAATTCCTGGGCACTCACTATGTACCAGGCACATTCAAGGTTTTCGGGATACAGGCACCAACAGAACAAAGCCCCAGCTCTCGAGGAACTTAAGTTCAGACAGACAATAAATAGGTAATGTGTTAACGAAAAGAGGCTTGAGCAGAGGCTTGAAGGTGGTGAGGGAACTGAGCCATTGTAGGTGGGGAGGGAGATCTGAGGTGCTGGGGAGCATTCCCGGCAGAAGGAACAAGCGCCAAGGCCTTGTGTGGCAGAGGGAGTAAATGAGCTAGAGAGTAGAGTGGTGGGTGGTCAGTGAAAGATCCATGGGCCAGATGGTGGATGTGTGACCTTGCAGCCATTGTGATGACCTTAGCTATTACAGGATTTTGAACTAAGGGTGATATGTTCTGGCCTATGCTTACAATTCCTTCTCAAACCTTAGTAGGCATCAGAATCACCAGGAGCTTTTGTTAAACACAGATTTCTGGCGGTGCCTGGTTGGCTCAGTCAGTTGAGTGGCCGACTCTCGATCTGGGCACAGGTCACGATCTCTGGGTCCTGGGATCAAGCCCTGAGTTGAGCTCCATGCTCAGAGGGGAGTCTGCATGAGGATTCTCTCTCTCCCTCTTTCCCTGCTCCTCCCCCCGACTCACAGGCTCTCTTTTCACTCTCTCTCTAAAATAAATAAATAAGTCTTTAAAAAAAGAGAGAGAGAGAGAGAGAGAACAGATTTCTGGGCTCCACCTCCAGCATTTCTGATTCTGTAGGTGGGCAGAACCCAAGAACTTGCATTTCCACCAACTTTCCCAGGTGTAGCTGCTGCTGCTAGTCCAGGAACCCACTTTGAGAACCACTGCTTCAAAGGGATTGCCTTGATTATCATGTTGAGGATAGACTGGTTATGGATGGTGGATGTGGGCAAACACACGAGCAGGAGGACTTGTGAGGCTATTGCAGTACTCAAGGAGACACCATCATCGTGGATGAAGTGGCTAGAAGTGAAGGGAGTCTGGAGAACCAAGGTGGCACAACGTCTGAAAATCCAGGTGAATATATAATAAATGGTTTACTGACATTTCTACAGTACTACCTGATAATGTAACGTGATTCATGTTTCCAAATGTTATGGCCACCCCATACTTTGAAAATGTAGCCAGCAGGAATTGCCAACAAACACTCTTCTCCAAGATGGCCCCAAGCTCCAGACT